TTACAAATTCACTGACTCAGCTTTCCTCCTGCAGTCGGCGTCATAGTGTGTGTTTTGTGAGATGGAGGAGGACTTCGTGGATTGGTGTTGGACATATGGGTTAATGTTAGACTTATGGGCTTGGACAGCACTGGGTTGGGATGCCTTCTTAATGTACATATCTTACACCGTCTGCTGTCTCCCTTCACCCACATTTATTCTGTTCGTCGTGTGTGTGTGTGTGTGCACGTGCGCGTGCGCGCGCGCATGTGCGTATTATACATCAACCATTGCCATCGGTGCCCCTTTCTCCCTCTTCTCTCCCCACCTCCCCCTACCCTCTTGGCATCACTACTCCCATTATTGTTCTTGAGGGGTTTATCTGTTTATCTGGATTCCCTGTGTCACGAGCTCTTATCTGTACCAGTGTACACACTCGAGTCTAGCTGGTTTTGTAAGGTAGAATTGGGGTCATATAGTGGGATGGAGGGGAAGCATTAAAGAACTAGAAGAATGTTGTGTGTTTCATCGGTGCTATACTGCACCCTGGCTGGCTCGTCCCTTCCTTGTGACCCCTCTGTGAAGGGATGTCCAATTGTTTTCAGGTGGGCTTTGGGTCTCCACTCCCCCACCCCCACCCCCACCCCTCCCGCCGGCCCCCATTCACATCAATGTGATTGTTTGTTTGGGGTCTTCAGATAAGACTGAGCTTTCTACTCCTGTAAATAGTTACAGTCTTGGAAACCCACTGAGGGGTAGCTATAAGTCAGCACTGACTTGATGGCAGTGAGTTGAGAGTTGAATTGCGTCTACTATGACAAAACATGATACACGCTATGTTTGTCACTCACTGCTTTGTGGTAGCTCTCCATTAGCTTTTATCACCATCATTCAGTCTACCTACCCTGACATTCAGTCTACCTACCCTGACAGTGAGTGGGAGCCCTGATTGGACTCCCAACCAATATATGGCATGCGCAGCTACCACCCATCTGTCTGTGGATGCTGTCAGGTTGCTAAGATACTGAACCGGTTTCAGTGAAGCATACTGAGTAAGATGTACGAGGAAGGAAGGCCTGGCAATCTTCTTCAGAAAGCTAGCCGATGGAAACCCTATGGGTCATAATGATGTGAATGACAACTTCTCATGAGATGGAGCAGGACTGGGCCCCTTCTTGTTCCATTGTTCTTAGGATCGCCGTGAGTCTGGAGTGAACTAGACAAACAACAACAACACTGATGGCAACATCCTTGTCAACAAGGATGTACTGATCCTTCCTTCCCTAACACTGCACATGGCACATTCAATATGTACGTGTTCATTCACGTGGTAAATATTTATTAAGCACCTACAGTGTTCCATTCTGTTGTGCGTAGCATCACAGACAACTCAAAGGCACCTAACAATAACAACAACATGTATCAAGTAGGAACCGTACTGGCGCTGCTAGGTCGTTAAGTCAGAAGTTCAAACCTACCAACCGCTCCATAGTAGAAAGTTGAGGCTATCTGTCCCATAAAGACAGCCTCAAAAGTCCTCCGTAAGGTCATTGTAAGTGGGTGGGGATATATGGTTATGTATCAAGTACTGTGCTAGGCACAAAATTCAGTGCGGTCAACAAAGCCGCTCATGTTTCTTAGAGCCTAATGGGGACTTAAATTTTAATAGCAATTTAAGTCTGCAAGTCCTAGAAAACTAACAACAGGCAAAGAAATTGCCATTCTTAAACAAAAACATCAATGAAGAAATGGTAAAAGCCATTTCCAAATATGTATTTCATCCATGGACATGACTAACTCTGGCTAATATGTCTTTTACTCACCCCCATCTTTCTTTTTAGCAATAATTCTGTTCTTCAGCCATTCTTTAGTTTCTTCTTTGACATTCTGAGCAAGTTCTATGACTACTAAAGGTGTGAAAGAAGTCTCGCAGGTATCCAAAGCAGATAAGGTGACTTTCATCTTGAACAAACTTGCTGAAAATTAAAATAAAATAAATAGCATGAATAGGTTATTATGGAAAAGAGAAATGTGCTATAGACTGTGCTTGCATTGTCTCTAAATTGCCTCCAATTTCGGCTTCCAAGGTAAAGGAAAACTGCTCATTTTCCAGGTGTGTGAGAGGACCTGAAGCAAACCCAACAAGTAGCTCAAAGCAAAGCGCATGTGCAAACCAGGTCCTTACAAAGACGGAGAGAGCAGGGTTTTTGTGTTTTTTCCTTAAGAAGCTGAAAATAGAGGAGACATGCAAGTAAATGAAGGAAAACAGTGTCAAAGGTGCTTTTACACAAGGAAAGGAAGCATTTCCATAAGATGGAACACCTGAACAGGATTTAGCAGAATGGTCAGTGGAAAGTCTTTAAGTAGAGGACAAAGGATTTCCCTACAAAATAATGGTGAAAACAGGCAATAGGCTCAAGGGAATGTTTAAGTGGTTAGGTGTGTGTAGTAGTTACATCATCTGGTGTCAATTTGGGAGAATTACGGGTGAAGGGGTGGAGTCTGGCCTGTCAATCAAGATATAACCAATGAGGCCTCTGTATGGGCCTGGCCTTCCCCTGAGAATTCTGGGAACTCCTGGATTTCCTCCTTGGAGGCGGGAAACATTTCTCTCACTCTGCTCACTCCCTGAGAGATGCTCTACTGACAAGACACATGGCGCTATGCTCTGGGAGCTGGAGAAGCCACATGGACCTACCCTGATGCAACCAGACCTTTGGAGCTGAACAAGCCACATGGAGAGCCCTGCTGGTGCTGAGATGCTTACAACACCACTGGATCCCCAAAACCTCCAACCCACTGGCCTGTGATCCTCCTGCATTCAGCATCATTGCATGTATTTCATGAGTCTGAAGAGGACTGTATAGATTGGTATCCGACATATGGTCTAACATTGGACTTATGGACTGGATCTGGAGTGGGCTGAGACGTTCTCTCAGTATTCAATTGCTCTTGTAGATAAACCTCTTTCTTATATACATGAGTCTGCCTGGATTTGTTTCTCTAGTCTACACAGACTAACACAGGTGTGGTTACTATATTAACTATGTGTGCAGGAAAGAGAGGAGGGGATGAGTTGGGGTCAACTACAGGCCTGGATTACAAAGCAATGGGGTTTGTTCTACATATAGTAGGCATCACCAAGTATGAACATGGAATGGACACAGACTTCACATGAGGGTAAAGTTACAAGCATCACAAAGGATCAGCCTACAGGGTGGGAAACCCTATGAGTCGTCCAGAGAGAGCAAGTAATGGCTGGAACCAGGGCTCAGAGGAGTGAGATGAGACTGGAGGTAAAAATCAATAAAAAACTAACAACAAGCGTGAATGTGATGACAAAGAAAAACAGAAAAATGTTAACTGAGGAGTGACTTCCCGTTGTAGTTCTATGTGACTGTCTACAACACCTGTAGCCCTGGACTGGAGCTTGTACATGCTAAAATTGCCACATTAAGAAAACAGGTTGGAGTTCCTGTTTCCAGGACAGAGTAAAGAATCCGTACAAACCCTCCAGATGCACTAGACAGCTAAAGGATGTGTTGCTATTCCTGGTGTGAGGAGTTGTTGAGGCAGCGCAATTCGTGGCAGACGCACAGACAACAGAATCCAACACTGTCCGGACCTGCGCCATCCTCATCCCTGTTAGGCCTGAGCCGATCATCGCTGCGGCCACTGTGTCAGTCAGTCCATCTCATGGAGGGCCTTCCTTTCTGCTGACCTCCCACTTCACCAAGCGTGAGAGCCCTTTCCAGGGAATGCTCTTGCTGGATGCAGAAGCAGGTCAGGGAGAGACCAGGGGATTGATGGAGAAGTTCCCCAAACTGATAGAACACATCAAAATATATATTTGAGCAACTCTGTGCTCCTCAAGCAAGATAGATAAAAGAAAAATACTATCATCAAATAAGGGGGGAGGAGCGGAGGAAAGGGGAACCAATCACAATGATCAACGCATAACACCCACTACCCCCAAGGGGGACGAACAACAGAAATGTGGGTAAATGGAGACAGCGGTCAGTGTAAGATATGAAAATAATAATAATTTTTATAATATATCAAGGGGTCACAAGGGGGAAATGGAGAGAAAAAAGAGAAGCAGAAGCCAAGGGCTCATATAGAAGGTAGATGTTTAGAGAATGATGATGGCAACATATGTACAAACATATTCGATACAATCGATGTAAGGATTGGTATAAGAGCTGTAAGAGCCCCCAACTTTTTTTTTAATGATAGGAAAGTCTTAAATTGGGAAAAGAAATCAAAAACATTTTGAAGGACAATAATTAGACTAAGAGCTGCCTTCACAATAAAAACAATGGAAGCCATTTTATCTTCAAATGAAATCTTTGAGAGGCTGAAAGACAATTATAGGCAAACTAAAATTGTACACAGTCAAAATATGCTGCAAGAGTAAAAGGGAAATAACATTTTAAATAAACAAAACTTGAGAGGATCCATCAGTATCATATTTGCAATAATAAAATGATGAGAAAAAGGGTGTTCTGAAGGCAGAAAGATCACAGAAACTTAAGATGCGCCGGTATGAAACAAGAGCATTGACTCAGGTAAATCTAGATGAGGTAAAACAAGAACAGTGCTTTAGGGGCTTAGCAGTATAGAGATTAAAATACTTGACAAGGAAAACCTCTGTTCAGACAAAGAGCACAGGTAGACAGAACAGAAACTCAATAATTCATATAATGGTATATCAAAAAGTAGTGCTAGAGAATTAGCAACAACAACAAATGTAAAGCAATTGTCTCCCCACATATCCTACATCCAGGTCTATATACATCTGAAGGTGGCGCTCCTACACTCCACGCTGTACATCCTCAATGCCCTCAGCAGGTGTTCCTTGTCAATGGTCTTTGAGTTCGAGGAACCAAGAGAAGTCTGAAGGAGTAAGAGAAGGGCTGCAGGGGAGATGGGATAAGGTTGAAATTACCAAAGAGGTTCTTATAGGACAGCCCTTGCGACCCTTGAAGAAAGAGCAGATACATTGTCATGGTGGAAGGAAAAAAGTATTTGATGTCACTTTCCTCATTTTTTTCTCACTAATGTAGTTTTCAATTTCCTTAAAAAACACTTTGCTTGGAATAAAACTCATGCATGTATCAATGAGAACCCTAGTAATCATACTTTCTGACTGACCACCATTTATCTAACCGAGAAAAATACATGGAGAGCTTCGGTACAACAGGAAAAGTGACAACTTACTTAACAGATAGGTCACAAAGTATCACATCCAAATGTCAATTAACACAAGAAATGGTGTCCAATTTCTTTAGTCATCGGGGAAATACACATTAGCCACCAGAGCATCTAGAAGTCAAGGCCATGCCAATGCTAAAATCGCAAAGATGTCTTTTCAGTAGAAGCCCCTTGGAAAACTGATGTCAGTCTCTTCTAAAGTTGAACAAATGCAGACCCTGTGACTAGTCATTTTACTCTAGATATGCAGCCAAGAGGAATGCAAACATGTTCTCCACAATGTCTGAGCTGTGGCTGTAAGAGCCCCAAACTGGAAACCACCAACATGACCATGAAAATTAAGACACATACAATTGCGGCACAGTCATACAGCATTATACTATAGAGCAGTGGTTCTCCACCTGTGGATCGCAGACCCATTCGGGGGGTCGAACGACCCTTTCACAGGGGCCGTCCGATTCATAACAATAGCAAAATTACAGTTACGAAGTAGCAACAAAAATAATTGTATGGCTGGGGGTCACCACAACATGAGGAACTGTATTAAAGAGTCACAGCAGAGGAAGGTTGAGAATCACTGCTATAGAGTGACGATAATAAACTACAGATAGATGCAAATACAGAGATGAGATTTCATAACTACGGTACTAAAACAAAGTCAGCACTGAAGAACGCAGACTGTGTGGTTTCCATTTACTGTATTTTTACATAAATAATGCATGTGCTATACATTTTTTTTTTGCCAACTCGTTGCTATTTAGCATAGCCCACTTACAAAAATACGTTGTTTGGGGAGAGTAAGTGGCTGGGAAAACCATATAATGAGGAAATAATTTGCATAAAACTGTGGTATGTAAAGTTAAAAAAAGGCAAACCAAGACTAGTCTTAGAAGTTAGTCTAATTGGACCTCCACTCAAGTACTCCCTCAATGCAAGAATACTTTCTTCTATTAAATTGGCACTCTATGATGCTCACCTTCCCGACACAACTGCTGAAGACAAAGCAGGTGAATAAGCAAAGTGGTGAAGAAAGTTGATGGTGCC